AAAACAGTGAACCAAGGAAGTGTACCCACCCCCATGAGGAGGGCACTGTGGGGTTGCGCCCGCGTTCAGGGGCCTGGCAGCATGGCACCTGCTGAATTGTGTCAAGTACATGTTTTTTCCTTCGAGTTTAAAGAATTGAAGGGCTGATCCGAAAACACTGACTGTAAATGCCTTTCAGCAGTTACTCTTCGTCTGTTCTGAGCTTTGGGGCCGCTGTCCTTCCTGGGGGTGGCCCTGAGAAGGAAACCCCTGGGGATTCATCCTCGGGGCCCACTGCCTTGTGTTGCCCCGACTTCCCAGCTGCTGGGTCATCCCCCATCGTCCCTGTTGCTCTGGTCCGTGACACTGGGGTGGGCGCTGGAGTGCCCTGCAGGAGGGTTGGCCTGGTGTCAGCCACAGTGGCCTCTGATACGGTTCACATTGTCCTTTGCTTCTCTCTACACAGATGAGGATGTCAGAACTCTCATGGGCTGTCACCATTAACTCATGGAAGTTCGTGCTCTTAAATCCGTAAGAGGGATTTTTCCTGCAAGGTCATGTTCCTCTATACAGTTTGGTTCACTTGCTTTGATTTTAGCTGTAGGGACTCACAGTCATCCTTTTAACTTTGAACATGTGAACGCGTTCATACAGTTCACATGTAAAGCTGTGGAGACAGGTGCGCTCAGACCACCCTTCCTGCCTCATCCCATTCTGTTGTGCTCCCTGTGAGGGGCCTTTTTTAAAATTGAGAGAAAGTAGATCTAGAACATTCTTGTAGTTCCAGGTGTACAATACGTGGTTCAGTATTTGTACATACTCCAAAATGATCGCCACGGTATGTTCCTCCACGTCCTGACCGAAGTTTGCTATCTTCCCACGTGCATGTGTGCGTGTGTGCCCGCGCGTGTGAGAACAGCCATCCAAACGGGAGGGCAGTGGCTCGTGGGTTTGAAGGTTTCCCTGATGACCACACCCTCCATGTCTGTGCATTGTGTTTGTAGAGCTGCTTCAGAGAATCCTCTAGTCAATCCTTGGCCATTTTGGAATGAGGTGGTTTGGGATGTTTTGTTGTTACAGGAGTTGTGTGTGTCCTGGAGATTACCCTTACTGGAAGTGTGAATTTGCAAGTGTTTTCTTGCGTTCTGTGGGTTGTCTCTTTCTCTTGATAGTGCCCTCTGATGCACAGAAGTTCTGTTTCCAAGTCCAATTCATTGGTTTTGTTTCTTAGAGTGCCTTTGGGGGCCATAGCCAAGAAGTCATTGCCAAAGCCAATGTCCTAAGGATTTTTCCCCGTTTTTCTACTGAGCTTTTTAGGCCTAGCCTCAAACCCATTTTGAGTTATTTTTGTATATGGTGTAAAGTAAGGTTCCGGTTTCTTCCTCTGCGTCTGGTTATTGTTTCCCGGCACCATTTATTGAGAAAATGGCCCTTTCCCCACTGAATGGTCTTGACATCAGATCATAAGAACAGATGTTCAGGACCGTCTCTGGGCTCCATCACCCCACCTGTGTGCACGCCAGCACCACACTGTTTCAGTCTGTGGCTTTGAAGCACGTTTTGAAATCACGGATTGAGTTTTTCAACTGTTCCCTTTTTTTTTCCTCTTAAGATTTTATTTATTTATTTGACAGAGAAAGACACCGAGAGAGGGAACACAAGCAGGGGGAGTGGGAGAGGAGAAGCAAGCTTCCCGTGGAGCAGGGAGCCCGACACGGGGCTTGATCCCAGGACCCTGGGACCATGACCTGAGCCGAAGGCGGACGCTTAACGACTGAGCCACCCAGGCGCCCCTCAACTAACTTTGTTCTTCTAAAGATAGTTTTGGCTATTCGGGGTTGAGATTCCATTTTAATTTTAGGATGGGTTTTCCTATTTCTGCAAACAAATTTTCCTGGGATTTTGATACAGACTGAATTAGGTCATTTAGGGTAGTATTCACATTTTAAGATTAAGTTTTCCTGTCCGTCAACACAGGGCTTCTATTTACTTCATTTATTTATATCTTTAATTTTAGTCAGCTGCATTCTGTAGTTTGTACAAGTAATTTGCCTTTTTGATTAATTCCGACTATTTTTCTTTTCAATACTCTTGTATATGGAATTGTTGAATTTCCTTTGTGGATTGTTAGTGTGGGGAAACACACCTGGTGTTTGTCAGTGTCATGTCCTGCAACATTGGGAACAGACTTTTGTGGACTCTGTCCACATGCGATCCTGGCAACAGAGTTGTATTTCTTCCTTTCCAATTTGGATGCCTTTTCTCTCTTTTGTGCCTAATTGCTGTGGCTGTAACTTGCAGTGCGCTGTTGAACAGGGAGCGCAGTGTGGAGCGCATCGTCGTCTCGTTCTGGATCTGAGGAGGAGCGCATTGGGTCTCGCGCCGCCCTGCATTGCCCACAGGATGCGCGCTGTGGGGTCTGCCTCGGTGGCCTCCGTTTTGCTGCCGCTTTCCTGCTTTTTGTGGAGTGTTTGTCATGAAAGGGGGTTGAATTCTGTCAGGCGCTGCTTTCTGCAACAGCCAAGTGGCCGTGGGGTTCCCCCCTTCCGTTATGGATTATATTGTCGGATGTTGAACCGTCCTCGTATTCTGGGAATGAACCCCACTTGGTGTAGGATCCCTTTAATGTGCCGTTGAAGTGCATTTGCTGGTGTTTTTGTTGAGGATTTTCTGCATTCGTGTTCATGATGGATCTTCGTGACTTTGGTGCCAGGGTGACGCTGGCCTCGGAGGCTCTGGGAACATGTGAGGACGACTGATCAGTTGGGTTTCTAGGAATGTGTCCATTTCACAAAGGTTGTCAATTTGTTGGAGTAGGTTTCTCATCGTATTCTCCTGTCTTGTTCCTGCAGAGTTGGCAGTGTTCCCCCTTTCATACCTGATTTTAGGAATTTCAGTGTGTGGGGTTCTCTGTCCAGTCTAGCTAAAGGCTCATCAATTTTGTTGATCTTTATGTAAAGAACCAGTATTGGGTTTACTGATTTTCCTTTTGCCTCTGCTCCAACCTTTTATGATTTTTTTCCTTGAGCTAGCTTTGGGTTCAATGTGCTCTTTGTCTAGTTCTGGAAGGTGTAAAAGACTCGGGGTCTGGTTTGTCATCGCCTGTATCCGAGCCCCCTCGGCGTTGCTGGCACCATGCCACGTGAGCTCTGGAACCCTGTGGTCACTGTTTCTGTCCCAGAGTGTTTTCTAATTTCCCTTGTGATTTCCTGTTTGACCCAGTGGTTAAGATGCTAATTCCCTTATATTTGTGCATCCCCCACACATGCCCCTGCTGTGATCAGGAAGGAAAGCACGTAGGTATAACCTAAGGTTAGTAAGAACTCAGATGGAGCGCCCTTGGTCTCCTAACGACATCCGGCTTAGGGTCTGGTCTGTTTGCGGTGGGGTCCAGGCGGGGGGGCGCTTCTCTCCCGGCTGGTGCATACCCTCGGAATGTACTTCAGAGGACATACCCTGTGGAACCAAAGCGGCTGAGCTTTGTGGCTTCTCTGTCCTTCCTCTGCTGCGTTACTCCGTTGACGTTTTCTTCCAGGTGACACACTTGATTTCACTCTCATTTCCGCTTGTGTATAGCCCATGTCTATTTTCTGTGTGGAAACCACGGGGGTTAGTAACATTTTTGAATTTTTTCAACTGTCATATCCTATACAAACACTCCCGTCAGCTCTGCCCCTCCCCAAGCCCGGTCACCAATCCCACGGGCAACCCCCTTGGACTGGGTGTGCCACCAGGAAAGGCTTGTGATGCCGTGTCAGGCATCCGTCTTCCAGAGTCTGTAGATTGACCCTCCCGGCCGTGCAGGTTGGCCGTGGATTCATGTTTACTGGAGAAGTGGACAAACTTGCTCCGTCTGGACGGGCGCCCCGCAGCCATCAGGAACCCCTCAGCCGGCACCCTGCAGCGACTTAACTCTGCCTCTGTGGGCAGGGTTGTTCTGGATGCGGAACCGTTGAGCTGCCCTCTGGCCCGCACGCCGTCTTTGCGGAGCCCCGCTGAGAAGCTCGGGGACGTTGCCTACGTGTGACGGTCTTCGGATTTCTCACGATCTTCTCGTGTGTCTCGGTGAGGGTCGGAGCCTCGCCTGCTTGCAGTTCAGTGAGCGTCCTGGATTTGTAAATTCACGTCTTCTGTCCAGTTGGGAAGTTTCTGTTGGGGCTCCTGCTGTCCTCCGGGGGCTCCCATGTGGTGCCCACAGCTCCGCAGCAGTTGACTGGTTCTTCTATTTACTGAGATGCTGTTGACCCTTCCTGCAACTTCTTTACTTGGCTTGTATTTTTCAGCTGCAGCATTTCATTTCTGGTTTCTTCCTGTAATATGTTTTTGTCCATATTCCTTTAGTTCTTGGAGCATATTTAAGACTATTTGGAAATCTAAGTCCGGCCTCTGGGCTGCTCCTGGGACGGTTTTGTCACCTTTCCCTTGGTCACGGCCATGTTTCCCTGCTGCCTTGTGAGAATTTGTGGAAAACAGTGCTCTGTGCTGGGCTCCTCGTCAGCCATTTGTGTGTGTGGCCGCTCTCGGAGGCCTGCCTTTCCCAGGCTCCCCCCACTGCTCTGTCGTCGGTGTCCCCCCATAAGCTCCTGCCCCAAACTCCTGCAAGGCTCTATGCCCCCTGCAGCTTTCGTGAGCCATGCCCACCTTTCCTGCTTGAGATCCAAGGTAGGCAAAGCGGAGACCAGTCCTCAGTCAGCCCCAGCCTGTTGGGAAGTTGCAGACAAGCTGGCCTGCTTCTCATGACCACACCAGGGGCAGTGGCAAGTACAGACAGCCCAGGACTGGTCCCACCAGCTTGAAGGTGGCTTGGTGCTTGCTTGGCTGTGGTCACCCTCTGTGCTCCAGAACTCCTGTAAGGTGGGTTCAGCTGGTTTCTGGTTCTTCTGTTTTCCTTACGTCAGTCAGGCCCCTGTGCGCCTGTCTCAAGTTTAAACCGACCTGCCTTTATCTGGAAGGTCTAGGCCTGGGGGCTGTTGGCGCACCTGCACTCTGCGCTCGACTTGGTCTCTTGTGCTGTTTTCCAGGGCCCGCGCACCTCTTCAGGCTTTCCGGCAAGTGCTTCAGCCTGGTGGAGTCCACGTGAGTGAGGGGAGGTGTGGGCGGGGGTGGGGGCCGGGACCCCCCTGACGCACCTGTGCCCCCAGGTACAAGTACGAGTTCTGCCCGTTCCACAACGTGACACAGCATGAGCAGACCTTCCGCTGGAACGCCTATAGTGGGATCCTGGGGTGAGCCGGGGGCGTGCAGGCGGGTGGTCCCAGGCCCCTGGGCTGGTGCCCCCCCCCCCTCCCATCCCGCCTCACGTGCTATTCTCCCTCAGCATCTGGAACGAGTGGGAAATCTCCAACAACACCTTCAGGGGCATGTGGATGAGGGACGGCGACTCCTGCCGCTCCCGGAGCAGGCAGAGCAAGGTGGGACCGTGGGGGAAGGGCCCAAGGATGCGGGGACCCAGCTTCCCCCGACCTGCCCACCAAGGCTTTCCCCACAGGTGGAACTTACCTGTGGGAAAAGCAGCCGCCTGGCGCACGTGTCTGAGCCGAGCACCTGTGTCTATGCGCTGACGTTTGAGACGCCTCTCGTCTGCCACCCACACTCCTTGTTAGGTAGGACCCTGGGGCGGGCCCGGGGTGCAGGTGGGGGGGGGGCAGGGGAGTTCGGCTAAAGGGGCGTCTGTTGGATTGTAGTGTACCCGGCCCTGCCCCCCGCCCTGCAGCAGCGGTGGGACCAGCTGGAGCAGGACCTGGCTGATGAGCTCATCACCGCCCAGGTGAGGTACGGGGCGGGTACCCCTTCGCCCGGGCGTGGCGCAGCTGCGAGCTGGCTCTTCCCTCTTCCTCCATCGCCAGGGCTATGACAAGTGGCTCAGGGTGCTTTTTGAGGATGCCGGCTACCTAAAGACTCCAGAACAAAGTGAATCGGTGCTGGAAGGAGGTGCCAAGGACCTGGCCTTCCAGACCTTAGAGAGCTGCCGTGAGGTAGGGACAGGGAAGGGTGCCTGGCCCCGAGCTGGCCCCCACCACTGGGCCGCAGGCCCTGCCCTCGGAACTCTTGTGTTGCAGGCACATAAAGAGCTGGCGAAGGAGCTCAGGAGACTGAAGAGCGTGCTGACCCAGCACGGCATCCCCTACACCAGGCCTGCGGGTGAGTCGTGCCCCGTGCAGGGCCCCAGCCCACCTGGGGACCTGCTGCCTGCGGGCCAGGCCCTATGCTGACCCCTGCTGCTCACTGTTCTGGCAGAGACTTCCAGCTCTGAGCACGTGGGCCCCAAGACACCCCCAGACGGGACAGCGGAGCCGCTCCGAGGTGACCCAGGACTGCGTGGGAACACCTTGTGACCTGAGACTGGCAGGAAGGGGGGGGGAGGCAGGTGGGGGGCCACTTCCTCCGCCTCAGGGCCCCGTGGGCTCTCAGGCTCAGCTCAAAGAGGCGACAAAAAAAATAAAGATGCAAAGTTTTAATTCCTGTACTGATAAAAATAATTCCATGAATTCTGTAAACCATTGCATAAATGCTGTAGTGTAAAAAAATTTAAACAAGTGTTAACTTGAAACAATTCACTACGAGTAAATGATTATGCATTATAAATACTACCTTCTGGGTTAAGGAAGTTCCATTCCAGTAACATTCTCATCTAAATACTCAGAACAACCTAGATGGAGGCTTCCATAAATTAATCCCCATGAAGCATCCACACTGAGCCGAGGTCTCCTGCGACCCCAGTCACGACAAACAGCAGAGAATGGACTGCGACCACGAGAGCCAAGAGGCAGAACGGCGGCCGAACCGAGCACGGCGCCCAGCGCTGTGGACGCCCACCTGCAGGACGGCACGGCCCCAGGGTGCCCGCGGGGCAGGGAAGGCTTCCTCGGAGAGCCCGGGCTGCCAAGACACAGGTGGGGAGGACCCAACGAGCAGCCCCCTGGGGGTCCTAAGAGTTCCACTCACGAGATTCTTGGGGGGGGGGGGGGGCCCACGACGCTGCAGCTCCAGTCTCTCACTGCACAGCAAGAACTGACCAGAGTAGCTTATACATAGACCTCAAGCTTAACTGTCCTTAGTTGTGTATAATTTGAAAACGTCTAGACTACGTATTGGTAATAAACATTGTCCTGTTTCCCAAAGACGACCCTAAGCCTGAAACGGGAAACAAGTGCATAAATATTAAAAAAAATAATTTTAAACGGTGGTAACAGTAGCACAAAATATACGTTTCTAAGAGCTAATAAATCACTATCATTAAAAACAAAGTAGATTCACTAAAACCAAGTCAACAGTCACCTTTAGTAATGCACTAGCTGCAGAACGTCATGGATCCACCTTCAAACAGAGCTATCGGTGTATCTTACGTTAAAAAAGGTTTTCAATCTCTTACTATAGTAAATATTTGGTTACTGATAAAAATTTTTACCGAGCCACTTTGCAGTTTACAAAATGCTATTAAACGTCTTTGGCAAAGCCACGGGTGGGCCAAGACTTCCAGGCCAGAGGGCCAGCCCCTGCTCCCGCCCCCAGCTCCGGCTGCCACACAGAGAACAAAGTCTGGGTCAACTAGAGACATCCTTTGCTTCTCCCCAGATTTCTAGGGAAAAATGACCCAATGCAGACCAAAGAAGATTCAAGTCCTCACCAAAACCACACCCGTTCTCAGGAGCGTTTCTGCCATGGCTGGGCGGCTGGGCTCTCTCTGCAAGCCCGGGGTCACCGGAGTGGCTGTGGTAATCACCAGGCTACCCTGCAGCCTGGGAGCCTCACCCCTGCAAGCTGGCATCCATCTGGCTGCAGGAAGCGGCCGTGGGCAAGCCTCTGGTCTCAAGCCACCCGAGTGGGAGCCAGGACACCCTCCTAGCAGGCTCGCGAGGCTACAGAGACTCAGGCACGGCTTTGTGAAGTTAATATGAGAGCCTCCACCATCGGGGCCCTGGGCCGCGCTTCCCCTCAGAGGAACACACAAACCCGAGGGAAGGGCGTCCTCCGCCCCTCGTGCGAGGCTCAGGCACTTAGAAAAGCGGCCGCGGGTCACGGAGCACGATCGGGCTCGGCGCCACTGCATGGTCCTGGAATATAAAACTCCAATTAATGTGCGTGTGCACGCAATTAGGAGTCCCTTTCACAAAATTAAAAACCTCTAAATGTGTCTTTCGGTATCACTGCTATAAATACGATTTGCACTTAATTTGAAAACTAAAAAATCCTAGGCATTTCTCACTACTAGATAAACGCTCATTTCATAAGTACTAATTTCAGGATAGGAAATCTAAGATCTTTACCATACCGTGAATTAACAATAAACTGATAGGAAATGGTATAAGTTCACAGTTCACATATAAAGCTTCATATTATCGCATATTAAAAAAACACAAACCTAGGAAGCAGCTTATAGCAACTCAGAATGTCTAACGCCCCCGGTTTACAAAGTGCTTGGCGGGGTCACAGTGCGTCATTCCCGAGCCCATGGGGCCGGCCGGGTGGGCTCTGGGGGTGCGCCCGTGAGGTTGGAGAGGAGCAGGCCGGAGCCCGGGGTGGGAGCGCCAGAGCGGTCACCACGGGAGGGGCTGACCCTCACAGTAGGGGCAGGGGGGCGCGCCCGCGGCGCACGGCTCACAGAGCACGCGGTGCTGGCAGGGCTGGAGGACAGCGTCGCGGGCCCGCTCCCGGCACACGGCGCACTGCTTCGCTCGCAGCTGGAAGATCACCTGCAGGGCGAGACACAGGTGGTGGTGGGGTCGGGCGGCCTCCAGCAGAACCGAGGGCCCAGGAAAGCCATGGATGGGGCCGTCCGTGGATCATTGGGGAATGTGGCCCTGGCTGCAGAGTGAAGGCTGAGGGACGCCCCCGGAATGAAGGTGGGGGCGGGAGAGCCCTCACAAGACACCAGGAGCTGAGCTGCCACACCGGTGTGGGAAGGGGCGGCCACCTCGAAGGCCTAGGCCCAGATAGAGGCCCCCAACCGACGTGCTGTGGCCAGCAGGCTTGAAGGTCTGGGCTCATGGGGACCCTGACTCGGGACCTGGGCCTCCGGCCACGAGAGCAGCCAAAGGCTGGGGAACTGTGCCTCAGCAGCCACTGGAGGGGTAGAGAGTGTGAAGGCCGTGGAACCTTCCAAATGCTCCAAGGTCTCACAACAGGCCCTGGTGTGGAAGAGATTTACAGCCGAGGGCAGCAAAGGTGAAGGGTGGAAGCAGGCAGACATCTACCCAGGGACCACAGAAGGCGACCTCTGTGAGGTGCCGCTCCGGCTCCGACCCCGTGGGGCAGGAGGGGCACACACCCTGTCCTCGGAGAGCAGAGGTGGCGGGGGGGGGCGGTGGGGATGGATGGGGTCTGGTGAGGAAGACCGGGGTGCCGTCCAGGGCCGGAACCAGGACTCACCCCATCCACGGCTTCCAAGTCCAGGCGCAGCTGACTCTGCAGGGAGTGCAGCTTGGGGAGAGGAACGGCGCCCAGGTCGGCACAGCGCTGCAGCCCCCGGCCCTCCAGCTCTTCCCGGAGCCGCCGGAACTGGGCCTCCACCTCCTCCTTCTTCTGCAGCGCCAGGTCCCGTGCACTGTCTGCGGCCAGAGCCCGCTCCTTCGCCTCCTTCGCCTCCCGCCGCCATGCGTCACAGGCCTGAAACCCAGGGCAGGGGCGGGCTGCAGCAGCGACACGGAGTGCCCCCCTCATGGGCGCGCCTGCCCCACCCCTGCCCCCGCCCCACTCACCTGCTGCACCTGCTGCCAGGACTCCTCCCACTGCCTGATCTTCCTCTTGGCCTCGTCCAGCTGCCGCCTGACGCGGGCCAGCTCCGCGCCGTTCGGACTCGCACTTGAGGACGGGGCAGGGCCGGTGCTCAGAATGGGGGACGGGCTGGGAGAGAAGCTGCCGGAAACAAAGTCCCAGATGCTCCCGGGGACGCCGTTCAAGCCTGAGCACAGAGGGGACAGGAAAGGTCACCGGCTGTGGTGCTGAGACCCCACCTCTGGGCCCCGCTGACAGTGACCCCTGCCCCTGCCCCTGGCACCCTTCCCAGCTGCTCAGGCGTCTAAGCAGAAGAGGACGTGAAATCAGGGCTGTCCCTGCGCCGTCCCTGGCCCCCGAGCCCCACCCCCCGCCTCAGTCGGCAGGCCCCACAGCTGTGGGGATCGCCTACGGTAGAGGTGTGTGCACGTGAGAATAAAGTGATACTTAAAATACTCTTAAAATAGGATGAGTTACACGAGGTAACGTCTCCCAATGAAAAATACAACAAGGACTGGCGCCGTTACTGTTGCGCCGGTCAGTGTGCTTGGCGCCGGGTCTCTAGTGACATCACAGGTCCCAGGGCCTGAGGCCCACCACCACGCACGGGTGACAGCTGGGGCCATCCCGTGTTCGCGCCCCGAGGCACCCTCAGTGGACTGGACAGGGGACCCCTCAGGTGGTGGCCGCCCCTGAGATTGGGCAGTGCAACCACGTGGGGGTGCAACGCACCCCCCCTCCCCCCGCCACGGACATCACGCAGGGCGGGCATGTCCCCACCAGCATCCGCTCACCTAAGGAGCTGTAGGATGCAGCCGAGGAGCCCAGCGCTCCGGGCTCCGATCTGAGGGCCGGCGGCTGCTGGGGGGGCGTCATGGCTGAGGAGACGAGTGGCCCCGACAGGGACTGGGAGAGCGAGCTCAGCGGGGAGGTGGACAGCGATGAGGACGAGTGCAGGGATGGGGAGCGGGGCAGGCAGCCCGGGATGCTGACAGGTGCCGAGCCCCCCAGCGACCTCGGACCTGCAGAGAGCGAGGAAGCCAAGTTAGCGGGTGGAGCGGGGGCAGCGTGACTACGGTGCAGGGACTCGGTGGCCATGCCCGGGTCTCTCTGCAGAGACCATGTTGCTGAGACGGAGGTACGCCGAGGGGCCGGGGGCTGGGGACCTGCCCACCTGAGAACCGCCTCAGGGCTCTGAGGAGAAAGGCTGGCCCTGGTAAGAGCCCGCGGTGTGCCCTACCTGCCGGGCCCAGATCGCCGCTGTCATGCTCTTCCAGCTCTCTGTCTAGGGCTGTGAGGCCGACGTCACAGAGATGAAGCTCCAGAGCAGAACCTGGTGAGCGAGACGTCACGTCAGCGCGGGGCCACACCGCAGCCTGGCCCCACTGGGGAGACCCGCCTTCTCCCCCAGACCACAGCGCTAGCACGGTCTCTGGGGCCCTGGTACGCTCTAGGCCCAGCTGCTAAAGGATCAGAGGCATCGAACAACGTGGGGCCCCCCATCTCCCAAAACTTTCCCTTTCCTACAAGTAGGGGCCTCCCTCCCTTCACCCCCACCCCTGACAGCGGACCCTGGGGACCCAGCTCAGGCCCACCAGCCCCCAGAGCTTCTCAATTCAGCAGCTGCACAGCAGTCAACTTGGAAAAAGCGGCCAGAGGACCCGGCCCTCCGTGTGACTCCCAGGACACCGGCTGGGCCTGAGCTGCCGCTGTGTCCCCGGCCAGGGTCTGCAGAAGACCCCGCGGCACTGAAGGCGCAGCACAAGGAGGTCAGCTGCGCTCTGCCCTGCCCCCACCATGCACCCTCCCAGAAGCAGGTGGGCCTTTCCCCATGTGGCTGAGCCTTCTCACCCCCTGCTGCCCGATCAGATACATCAGGTACCGTCTCTGGAGGCCACAGAGCATCCCCCGTCCCCAGGCCCCCAGGACAGACCGCCGTTCCAAAGCCCAGGGGATGCACGGAGGAGGCCCTAGTTGGGCCTGCTTGTTCTAGGTCCCTGAGCCCAGCTTCCGGAGCCTTCTGCCTCTGCCCTGCCCCCAGCGGCCTAGTGTCAAAGTCCCCTGAACTGTGTCTGACAAATGACAGCAAGTCAGAACCACTGGTCATTTCTAACCACGTCCTGCCCTCGGCTGGACCCAGACTCCTGGCCATGTCAGACATGCCGCTGTGCCAGGGACATGCCAGGAAGCAGCAGGAGGACCGTGACCACTGCAAACGACTGTGTTAGAATCCGGAAGCAAAGGACGAACCTGCCGGAGGCTGCAGAGAAGCTACTACCCCTTTAAATGAAAAGCATTTACCGGGCGCCTGGGTGGCTCAGTTGGTTAAGCGATTGCCTTCAGCTCAGGAGTCCCGGGATCGAGTCCCGCATCAGTCTCCCTGCTCAGCAGGAAGTTTGCTTCTCCCTCTGACCCTCCCCCTCTCATGTGCTCTCTCTCTCTCTCAAATAAACAAAATCTTTTAAAAAAATAAAGAAAAAAAGAAAAGCATTCACCGTAATTACTGGGAAGAGAGTCAGAGGGAGACAGACTTCCAAACCGCCGGCTGCGGGACGCATGCAGAGCAGACTTGAGGTCCGGCCCATGTGGGGACCGCAGTGTCCTGGAGGCGGCCCAGTGCTAAGTCCCCAGAGCGCAGGCGCACATCCACTGTCCTCGGGCCACCGGCTCTGGCCTCCGTGGCGGGTGGAGGGGAGATGTGCTCGCTGGGGCTGGGACCCCAAGGGGGCTGCACCGCCTGGCGAGACCTGTGCACTCCGTCAGTGCCGCTGTGCCCGCTCGCAGATGCGGCCAGGAGCACAGAGCGGGGGCACTATGCAGGCACGGCCCCCACACCCACCCCAGCCCTGCTTTGGATCCCAGCCCCCAGGAGAATTTTACCAAAGTCAGCCCGCTGCCCCACCCATCACCCGGGCCTTGGGCCTGCCCGCTCCAACGGAAACACCCTTCCAACAAAGGTTTTAGGAGATCCCGCAAGTCCCATCCAGGAAGGAGGTGACCATGCCGGACGGCAGCCGCGCCCCCACCCCCCCCCCCCCCCCGCGAAAAGCACGGACGTGGGGCCTCGGTCCTCTGTGGGGCACAGGGAAAAGGCCCAGGGCCAAGACAGCCAGGGAGCCTGCCATGGCTCTGCACCCCCAGCAGCCCCTGCAACCAAGAGTCACAGGGAGAACGGACAGATGAGTCCCTCGGGGAGACACTGCCCGCCTGGGGCCTGCGCAGCCCCTTCCTCCTGTGGGCTCCCCCAAACCAGGCTTCTCTGGACCCCCCACCTGCTTGCCAGTGAGCTCCCTAACACCTAGCAGCACAGGGGCATTTGAATCCGGGGGCCGCCAAAACCAAGAACAGGAGGCGGCTTCCAACAGCGCCCCACAGATCCATTCTCGCTGTCGGGACCTAGAAGTCAGTAGAGACCAAGGCCTGCAGGGCCGGCTCCCCCAGTGGCTCCAGGGGAGGCTCTGGCCTGCTGGTATTGCTGTCAAGCCCTGGCCGTCTTGGGTTGGTGGACACATCACCCCAGCCTTTGCCTCGGCTGTCACACGGCCATCCCTCTGCATGTGGGCCAAACTACCTAATAAACAAAATCTTTTAAAAAAATAAAGAAAAAA